TCTCTCTCTCTCTCTCTCTCTCTCTCTCTCTCTCTCTCTCTCTCTCTCTCTCTCTCTCTCTGTCTCTGTCTCTCTCTCTTTCCACACAGGGATTTCTTTTCAATGCAGTTCCTTAGTCCCTCCTCCCTTGTCTCTCCTACTTCATCCGTCCTCCATCTTATTTCTGCATTTTTTTATTTCGAAGTCCGATTGGTAACGAATACCCTCCCCATTTGCAGTGTGCTCCTCCCTTGTCATCGGTGTGCTCCTCCCTCATCCATTCCCCCCCTCGTCCATTCCCTCCCTCCCTTCTCCCTTCTCATCATGCTTGCTTCGGTTCTTCACTTCCCCCTTCCCTCGTCTTTCCACCATCCCTCGTCGGTCCATCTTCCATCTCCTTTTTTGTTTGTTGGTCGATCTTCCATCAGGCTGTAATCGCGGATTCGCTTTCTGTTGGAGCGAGCACCTTCATCGGGTGGTCACTTGTGAAATAATATCATATTATATTATGATATTATTTAGTATATCATGGACTCTTACTGTATTACGGAGAGAAAAAAAAAAAATCCACGCATTCGCTCACACATGCTGCACGCAAATGTGCGTGGCACGCGCACACCCCAGCGCACCGGCGCACTGCGCACTGGAGTGCCGTGCACCGCATCGCGCACTGCGCAACGATGCGCGATGTCCGCGCACAGCCGAGGGGCGCACGGCGCATCGCGCACCGCACTGCATCGTGCACCGCATCGATGCGCCGCAAGTATGGTAGAAAACATACTTGCAACCCTATCGCGCGCCGCACCGTCCGGTCCGCCGTACGGGGTCCGGTCCGGGACCTTCCGGTCTGGCCTACAGGCCCGTACCCCTACCAGACAGGACTGCACCGTGTCCGGTAGGGCTATCTCCCGTCTGGTGCGGTTTTGTGCACGAACTGTGCAGGGAGGTCCAATACCCCATCCGGTCCTGTAGGGAAACAATTTAATTTTTATTTTATTAATTTCAAAAGCGCTGTGAGGTGGGAATGATATGTAACGCACCTGACGGTTGTGGTTGACGCAGAGACACTGCGTCATCATCGAACCTGCAAGCAGCAAAGGAAACCCAACACAAAACAGAACAACAGCAAAGCGCAAACACATGCAAACTTGCAAAGTAGCGCAGTGAAGAAAGGAGAAAAAGTGCAATGCTGTCCATAAATATTGAAACTTCGAAGTTAATGTCATGAGAACGATGCTCATTTGGAGTCTAGAAGGGATACCCTTCAAAAAGCACACCCACCCAATCTACTCCTGTCCTCCATCATTGTCACCACCCTCCTCACTCCGTTCGTCTTCACTCCCGACATCACCCTTGCAATGATGTTTGTCACCAGCAGATGATGCAGAAGGTGAAGATGGCGATGATGATGATGATGAAGACGAGGACGACGCTTCACAATCGTCATCACCCAGGATCATCGACATCCGCTTCCCCGCCTGTTTCATTGCCTCTTTCGTGACCAGGCGGGAGGATGTCGGGACATCTGGAGCTGCAACAGCTGCTTTCCTGACAGCTTTCTTAGCAGCTCTCGCTGTTACTCTCTTCGCTGCTTTCTTAGCAGCTTTCTCCGCCGCTGCAGCCTTCTTTGCAGCCTTATCTGCTTTTTTCCTAGGCTACCAGAGCGGCTTGCGGTCACTTACCCGGCCGGGCCAAAAATAATTAAATTTTTTTTTTGCTGGGACCTTTCCTGGTCCTTGCATGGGCTGGCCACCCGGGACCCGGGTGGCCCAGCTGGTAGCCTAGCTTTTTTCATTTTTGCTGGGACCTTTCCTGGTCCTTGCATGGGCTGGCCAGCCTAGCTTTTTTCATCTCGGCCACTTCAGCATTGCTGGGGCGTCCTCTCTTCTTTTTCTTGGGCGGTGAAAGGTGTTCTTTGGCTGGCTGTTTTTCCGCAGCATGGACTTCAGCAGCATGTTGCTGTTGCCGTCCTTTTGCTCTGCTGCTGCCCCCGGACATCTACCTTCCACTCAATCGCCTGTCTCTCATGCCTGCAATGCACGCTCACGCTCCTCAACGTTGTACTCCACTAAGTGGTCTGCTCGCTCGTGCCCCGATCTCCTCCTCAACAAGCGCTCTCTATGCCTCCCCGGCGCAGTGCAGAACTGCCAGTCGTTCGTGTAGTTCTGAATATGTGAGATGCCATCCTCTTCATCCATCATGTCGCCAAGTCTGTCATTGCGCAACCACCTCCTTGCCAAAGGCAGATCACCTTCATCGTCCAGCTCTGCAATGACAGTGCTATCGCCCTCTGCGCCAGCCCCTATATCCCCGGTGCTCTCCTGTATTTTCTGCACCCACTCGTTGTAATAGCGCTTTACCTCCACCTCGTTTTCCGCATCTGGTAAGCCCTCCATCCACGGGATGTGGACATCGTCTTGGCCAGCCCCCTTCTCTTGCCTCCACACTGCAGGTGGAGATTCCAATTATTGTACACGAGCTTGGCAAGACGACCTGACAGCAGCTTTATCCTCCTCTTGCCGAAAATGAGCTCGTGCAAGCTCCAGTTGCGCGCACAA